TCTTGTCGAGCCCCGATGGCTCTCGGAATTTCGGACTTTCTTTTCAGAGTTTGTGCTTTTTGTTTTTCTCGCATTAGATAGGAATTTAGGAATTTAGGAATTTAGGAATTTTCCAATTAGGATTTTCCTTTGCGACGCGATGCTTTTTGCTTACGCGCTTCTTTGTGCGGCTGCAACGAAACTCTGATTAGTCGGCGCCTTTAATCGTGTGTGTAACTGTAATTTTGGGCGGAGGCCATTGTAACTGTATTTTTCTTCTTGTGTTTCGCCTTTCCCGCCCTTCTTCTTTTTCTTTTCGCTGTGTTTTGGTAGCCGCGCTCTACATGATCGGATCGATGCGTGGAGAGTTACGTCCTCCACGCCGCGAATTGGGCCATGCAGAACGTAGGCGTTCCTTCTCTAATCATCCTTCTAAGTCTTTGTAATTCCGTGTTCTTCGTGCATGCATGCGCGCTATAAATTCCGGCTACGCGATTAGTGAGCTCTCTTAACTAGTTGTTGGAAGCTCGGGGTTGCGCGATCAGAAGGGGTCGGCACACGAGCGAAGTAAGAGGTGAGTAGAGCAGGAGTCGGACGACCCGACGAGGTGGTGCCAAACGCACGGGGTTGACGCGGGCCACGACGGACTGTGGGCGCGGGCGAACCTGATGGGTGCGGGAGGACTAAGCGGGGTGACGGCTTCGTGGGTTGGTGCGTGACGACGGACTGTCTGCATCGGAAAGAGAGAGAGAGGAAGAGGGAGTTGAGGTTGATGGACGCGGATTTGCTGTTTCTTTTATCTTTTCTCCTTCCGTCTCGAGTATATAAATTTTGATTTCGGCTCAGGGGGATTTGCCTGTTTCTGTTTTTCGGAATTTGGACACGGTTTTTCGCTCATACTTGTCTTTGCGATTTCCATCTCAGATATGGTGTGTGAATGAATGAATGGATGTCGTGTCTGTTGTTTGTCGTTTGCATCTGATCCTTGCCTTCGTTTACCATCTTGATGCACTCGTGAATAGGGTAGGAATTTTGTGTAGTCATCAATGTTGTTTCCCTTTGTGCTTATCTTCTGATTGGGCCGTTGTGGTTGTTGCATCTTGCATGCTCGGAAATCACGGAATGATTAGACGACCGGGTAGTTGTTGCATGGAAACCAGTGAAAGCCTTGTGGGGACGCGTGTAAGTACGATCTGCTCTGCGCACTTACACGTGTCCCCGCATATCGATTCACGACCAAACCACACATAATGAGGTCAACAACTAATTGGATGTGGTCATTTCGCGTTAGCAATGAAGCAATCATCCCGTGTGAACACGGGTCAGCGCGACTCGATTTGTGCGGCCTGCACGTGCTCACATGCGGTGATCGCAATCGGCATAGACCCGCCCTTAGGCATCTCGCAGTTCCGCGATGACATAATGACACGCTCCGAGAGCTCAGAGTCGTTGTACAACCCAGATTACTTCACCCCGTGGATAGAAGAAAGCCTTCGACAGAGATTTCCCTGTCTAACAGAAAACCGGTTGTGTCCTAGGGAGTTTCATTGCGCCACCACCAGCGCCCCCAGGCGCTCTGATTTCCCCACTTCAGACCACACCCACTACTTTATCTCCCCTGGCTTTGTCATTATCTCCACTAACTTCCCTCCCTTTTGTCTTCTTCTCCCGTATCATCAACTCAGGGTCATCCCGTGGAAAGGCATAGCCCCCTACTGGCCCAGCACGCCCTGTGGAAATTGCCGACAACGCGGCAACCAGAGAACCTCGGAAGCACGAGGGCCCAACCAGAACGTACGACGACCGGCGCCACGTGGCGACAACCGACGACCGGACTCATCGGGATCACACCCACCCCGAAGGGATCTCCCGATGAACCGCCGTCCTCAACATAGATGGATCGCACGACCATAAATGACCCGCGCATGCCATCTGCCTTATGACCAGAAGTGGTCCGCCCTCTCTGCCAAATCGCACCCGTGCCCCCGAAAAACTCTGCCACAGGAGATCTCAGTTCTGACCTGGGACTCCATCCCCACTTTCCCAAAAATCCTTGGCACACCCCTTTTCGCACTTCCAGGCCCACATTCTACTCCGATCAGGAAGTCGCGCTGGGTGTGAGGTTCGGGCGTCACACACCATCTTGATTCTGGGATAGGCTGGGTCTTGAACTTCACCTTATACTGCTTCTAGGGTCTTCCTCTGCCGCCTGTAGAAAAATATCCATGTTCCAAAATTCTTTCAACTTCATATCCTCCATTCATAAAGGGGGGAATCATGGATGGCCTGTTGGGAAACTCGTGGCCTTCGACGTAGGGCAGCAGTTTGGAAGCATGAAAGACGGGATATGTCTTAAGGTGAGGGGGTACGTCAACTCGATATGACGTAGGGTAGCAGTTTGGAAGCATGAAAGACGGTATATGTCTTAAGGTGAGGCTTTTTTTCTTCCTTCTCCTCGGCTACCTCTTCACGCACAACCTTGTTCTTCCCTTTCACAAGTCTCGTCACTGTCTGCAGTTCTGCGGTGACGTTGTCAATCTTTATCTTTAGGTGTGCCAAGAAGGCGATCATGTTTTGCAAGACAGACGCCACATCAGTTTCTGTTTCCCCCATACGAAACTTCTGTTTAATTCCTTCTACCTTTCTTGCATGTTGCTCTCGTTCTTGTCGCTGCCTCTGATACTCTTCTTTTTTCTTCAATTCGGCATCTTATGCAACTTGCAATTGTTTGATGGTGTCGTCCATTATCTCTACTGGTAATTCAGGTTCTTCTCTCTTGTCACTTGCTCCTTTTTGGTCTTCTTTGGCCACATCACCGACTATCTTCGCCAACTACTCAGCAACAAATTGATCGAGGATCATTCGTCCCTGGTCAATTATCTGTTGCACCCTCCTGCTGGTCTCCAACATTTGAACAACAATTTCAGCCCTTGCTAGTTCGTCTTCTGCAGCATGCAGATCGAACTGGCTGCGAACATGCCGCTCAGCATCTCACCAAGCGTCGTGCAGTTCAGTGAGCAATTGGTGAAGACAGACCAGCATCTGCTGCCATGTTCCTTAAACTTGGCCATGGGTTCGCATTTCCCCACCTTCTTCATCAGCAAAGAAGGTGATCGAGATAGGAGAGAGAAGAGGAGGAATGAATCGAGTAAGGATGGATGCACGTAAACAGTTCTAGAGGTAAGTCATTTTTCCTAGTGTGTGTCTACCGCACAATAAACTTTAAACGACAATTATAAATTCCACGGCCACACATATTTTAGATTCCAATCTCCATGGCAAAAAATAAAATAAATAAATAAATAAATAGGGAACATAACTATGTTGGGCCGTCGCTCGGCCCGGCACGCCCGGCCAGGCACGCCCGGGCCAGTTGGGCAGGGGGGGGGTCGCTTGGCAAAACCAGACAGGTCAAAAAAGAGGCAAGGATCCCCCCCCCAAAAAAAAAGACTTCAAGCCAGGACTGCGCTTGGCCCAAGCAGTCAGAATCCGGTCTTAACTTCGGTTTTGGTGATGGGTCACCCAGGGGGGGTTGGGGGGTATAAACAGTGACTGAAGGGCTTAAAAGGGCACATTTGGAGTCTTTTGGGACTCATGTTTTCTCATTTATTTTTTATCTTGAAATTAATGAGGAATTTCTAGGTGGCCCTCAGCCAAAAGTCGTTTGTATTGCAGTTTTACGCAACATAGTTTTTTTTCGGAGTTTTTTTTTTTTTTTTTTTCTATTTTTTTAAATATTATGCGTTGGGATCGCCCGGCCCTGTCCGGGTCGCCCGGGAGAGTACCCGGGCGACCTTCCCCCAGCCGGGCCGCCCGGGGACTAACACAGGAACATAATCTAGATTTCGTGCTGGCTAATTCTGATGAT